CGCACGGGGTAGAATCGACGGACGAGTCGAGGAGGCGACGAGGTACCTGGGGCCGATTGTCACGCAGGACGCCTCGGCGGCGATCGAGGTGGAACGTAGGATGGTGGCCGCCCGTGCTGCTTTCTATGCCATGGCAGGCTTTTGGTCTGCCAGCACGCCGCGACGCTGGCGGCGCACTGTGCTGATCGGCCTAGTGCAAAACACCCTCCTGTCAGCACTTGAGGTTTTTTTACTCAGCCCCCGCCAACTCTCGCTCCTTGACCACTGCCTCGCCTCCCTCTGTAAGATCGCCATGCACGGAGCCGCGTGCGAACGCAATGAACAAGGGGAAGTCACGGACCGCATAGGTTCTCTAGAGATTCTAGCCTCCTGGGAATTAGTGCCGTGCGAAACGGAGCTGCGTATCCGAAGGCTCGTCTGGTACCAATCTTGGGCCTCTCGGACTAGGGTGCACGCGCACGTTTTGGCAATGCTCTTTGGGGCCCTAGTTTTTGAACCTGCGGAAATGCGGCCGTGTACAGTTGATGGCCTTAGTCAGTTTGCGAGTCCCTGGGCCAAACGCATCCAGGATGGCGCCCGTGCCGCGATCGAAGTGATGCCTGATGACAGGGATGTGCTTTTGCGCGTTGCTGACTGCCCCTGGCTACTTATAGAAGATAAAGAATTATCTGAGGATTTCGTTCGCCTCGATTTCAGACGTCTGCGCAGTTACCATTTCACTGCCACGATTGCGCCCCCTGGCCCTTCCCGTGGTGTCTTTGACCCTGGGGTCCCTGGTGGGCTCGTCCCCCCCCCGTCCCTGTTGCCACGTTTGTTTGTTCTTGGGCGAAAGGGGAGGGGACGCGATGTGGCGATTCTTTCTGCACGAAGCGGGGTCTCACCGAGCACTTGAGACACAAGCACGGCGTCTATAATTTAGCTGCTCTGCTTTGCCCGTCTAATGAATGTATCGTGTGTAGGAAGATGTTTTGGAATAGGCAAACGGCCTACCGACACCTCGAGGGATCGATACTCAGGGGGCACTGCGGAACGAGAGGGCCGAGTGCGATTGCGACCAGAGCTGAACCGAGGGATCTGGGGTGCCGCATTTGTTCGTACGAGTCGGCCGACTACGACGACCTCTGTAGCCATCTTCGGGCTCATCTTCCCTGGTCGGTTTCCTCGGGGGCGTGTTTTCTCGCACGACAGCGTCGCCGACATGACCTCGGACGTGGCGATGCCCTCGTGGATGGTGAGGTCGGCCTCGCCCCCTGCATCGGCGCCGCGCCAGAAGCGGGGCAAGGCAGGCAACCCCAAGGAGAAGGCCGGCCAGCTCCTGGTCGTCATCGCGAAGCTCGCCCTCACCACAGCCCGAAAAGCAGCGCAGCTGGAGAGCGTGTGCTACACCACGATGTTCATCAGCGAGGCAGACGGCAGCTTGGGACAGGTGTGTCGCAAGGGGGGCATCGAGTACGACGGCGAGAGCAAGAGGCTCCGCGAGAGGGTCGCGGGCGGCGAGTCGGTAGACTTCAAGGCCCGCGGGCCACCTCACGTCCATCTGTTCGGCGCCATCATCAAGCGCAGCATGGAAGTTACGGCGTCGGGGGGGGCGACTCCGAACGCAGACGGGCACAAGATCTTCCTCGAGTACTGGCAGCAGGTGATAGTCGCAAAGAAGCCTCAGGAGATCGCGGAGCAGGTCCTCCACTGCAAGTACCGCAAGGCGAGGACCGCGGGAGAGGACGCCAAGGGGGTCCTGTCGTTTGTGCTGAACTCGAAGGTGCCGACCGCCAACTCTCTGTACCCGATCCTAGTGGACTACCTCTCGAAGGTGGAGAAGGCGGAGGCGGTGCACGGGCCAGCGCCGAGGGGCCCCTTGGAGCGAGAGGCAGGCAACCTGCTTCAGGCTCTCAATCAGCGTTGATGGCCAGCAGTGAGAGGCTCGCATCACTGCTTGCCAGGGGAATTGTCAGCCCTGCAGTTTTGTCCGCCACGAGAGTGGCGACGGTGTACGCATCACCGTTTTTGCCCACATCTGTCGTCCAAGTTTTGAGTCCGACTCGCCGCGGCGCACGTAGAAGGAGCGGAGCGGGAGGTGGGAGTGCCGCCGTCCCGAGCCAGCCTGTGCCTGCCGCCCCTGTACCAAATGTTTTAAGGCGTGTCTCGGATAGTGCATCCCGACCCCCTGCGAGGGAGTTTATCCCCTCGAGGGGGGTCAGGGCGGAGTGGGCCAGCAACAGTAGTACCCACGGGGAACGGCTCGCGGATGGGACGGGCGGGACGTTGGAGGGTGGGTCGGGTGTGACGGATCCGCGAGCTGGTCCCCGTGCGAGGGGCACCCGCCTGGCTGCGCGCCAATCGGCGGGCCGCTCCCTGGGGCCGTGCGGGCGGCGCCCGACAGGCCATGGTGGCCACAACAATTGACCAGTCCTCTTTCGGTTGTCGCGAAGCGACGCCCAGGTGCGAGACAGCTGCGAGACCTCCGTCCTGCCGCGCCCAAGGGTTCCGAGCCTCCTCCTCCTCCTCCTCCTCCTCCTCCTCCTCCTCCTCGTCCTCCTCCTCCTCCTCCTCCTCCTCCTCCTCCTCCTCCTCCTCCTCCTCCTCCTCCTCCTCCTCCCTTGGGAAACGCCCGTGCAGCGGAGGCCAGTCCACAAGAGACCCTCCACGAGGAGCCCCACCCGGAGACCCCGGGACTTCCCTTGGTGTTTGGCGCGGGGACGTCGCGATTTCCACGGCAACACCGTCGAAACTTTCGAGTCGAAACCCAAGAAACCCAGGGAAACCTGGAGGCGAGCAGGGTGTTTTTTGGGCATGGGACCCCACTGTACCATCTTGTCGGCTCTGGCGGAACAGCGCTAATCGACACCGAATCGACGCTAGTCGACTCTAAATCGACGCTGATCGGCGCCAAGCGACGCGAAATCGGCGCAGTCTCATCGACTCCCAGACGCTGATCGACGCTAGTCGACGCTAAAAACTGAATTACAGTCGGGGCATTGACCTAAGGAACCCAAAATAAGGAACGAGGCCCCTTTTTTCCATAAGTTAGACTTCGATTTCCTTTCGAAGACATGAGGAAAACCTGAGGCAAGCTATGAAACACTTGAGGAACGCGGAGCCCCTCCCCAACCAAAAGGGTTCCTTCTTCAGGGCCCCGACTGTAGGGGGGGGGTGCACCAGGCGCCAATGATTCGCCATCGAAAAGCGAGTCTTACGCGAGATGCCATCGCGACCTTGCGCAGCGGCTTCTGCGGGCCGCCAGCGCGGCACGCTGCGCCGAAAGCGAGGGTGCTCGCGCGCGACCTTGCGCGGGCGGCTGACGCGCCAGTGTCGGCGCAGGTTGCCCGCTTGTTGTTGCGCCGCTCGGTTGACGCCCCCAGCTTCCAGGACAGCCACTCTTAAGGGGGCCACATGCGAACCCTACCCCTAGGGAGCCCACAAAGGACGTACGCGCCCAGCTATGTACATGAACGCGGCCCCTCGATCCGTGAGACCGGCCGCGTTATACGAACATTTGCGCAATGTGAACTCTCGAAACCAGCGTGGATTCATGTACATGTACGTCCTTTTTCCGCTCCTGAACCCCTACCCCCCACGACTTCTGGGGAGGGTGGGGTTCACTTCACTCGAGAGCTCCCGAACGAGGTGAACCCCACCCGCCCCCTCAGAAATCGTGGGGGGTAGGGTAGGGTTCGCATGTGGCCCCCTAACTCTGACACCCAAACGGCCCAACATGGCCCAAGACGGCTCAAGAGGCTCTCAAGACGGCCTCTCAAGACGGCCCAGGCTGCCCCCCAGGCCGGCCCAAGAGGGCTCCAAGAGGCCCTCAGACGTCTGGTCTTCGATGCAAAAGCAGAAAGCCCAAGGAGGCAAAAAACAGTTGAGTTTCCCTGCGGGGTTGAAGGATTGTGAGGTTCTCGCATGCTTGGGCTTCCGACCGCCGAAGACGGCCCAAGGGGCTTCCAGGATAGCTCCAAGACAGTCCAACGGCCCCCAAGAGGGGCCCCAAGTCGGCCTTACAGGACCCCAAGATCGCCCAAGCCGTCGGGGTGCGTCGACTATCTCAGGAGGCAACTCCTGAAGGTCTGACTCATGGGCTACAACCGATGTAGGACAGATTTGGGTCCAGGATTTAGCTAGACCGGGCGGAAATGAGCGGAGGGGGAACTGGGTTAAGCCATGTTCTTCGAGCTGGGAGAAGGGAGGATTCGCTGGTGACGGAGGGGGCGGGGAGAGAGGGAGGAGGGACGCCCTTTCGGAAGCCGGGCAAGGGCTGCTAAATCCGTGGCTGCTAAAATCGACCTCCGGGAAGTTGTCTTCGTCCTTCCGGGAAGAAGCCCGTTGACTGGTTCGCGTGCCGCGCCTCATTCCGGGAAGTTGTTTTTTCCTTCCGGGAGGGCCGTTTTAGCAGCCACGGTTTTAGCAGCCCTCGCATCAACTACCCCACAGGGTCTTCAATAAACCCACAGGCAATAATGGGAGGGGGAGGAGGAGGAGGAGGAGGAGGAGGAGGAGGAGAGGAGGAGGAGGAGAGGAGGAGGAGGAGGAGGAGAGGAGGAGGAGGAGAAGAGGAGGAGAGGAGGAGGAGGAGGAGGAGGAGGAGGAGGAGGGACGAGTTTCTGCCGAGAGCTGAGGGGGGGGAGAGGGCATCGTTAAAGACCCTCTGCGGTTACCCCGACCTCGTGGCGGGAGGGGAGCGGGTCCTGAGGGGAGCGGGCCCCGGCTCCCGGGGCTTCTCCCTCCCCGGGGCCAGCTCCTCGCCCACGTGGAGCGCACCCGCTCGGGGGCCCCGGGGGGGCCTCGAAGACGGGGGCCCGGGAGGCCAGAGACAGAGGAAAGAGAACTATGCACATGCACCGGTCCTGGCCAGGCCCCTCCCGAGCCCAGGATCGGTGCTTACGCCCTCCTGCCTTGGCCAGGAGGGCATATGCACCGATCCTGGGTCAAGGATGGGCCCTGCCAGGATCGGTGCATGTGCACAGTTCTCGCCGCCCGAAGAGAGGCCAGGAGAAGCCGCCCTC